AATGAGATGGATCGATTCTGTGAGTGGAGTGGTGGGAATGAATGTATTTGTGACAGTGAGGTTGGCACAGGATAGAACGGCGTTTAGGGCTCTTGTACATAGGGTCGCTATGAGTCGCAAACGACTCGATGGCACATAACAACAACAACAACAACAGTTGAAGAGGACATGAATGCAAACATGTGAATTTCATTTTTAGTCTCAAATATTTAAGTATTATTTTGTCCTGGTCATACAACCTCTGATCATTCCTGTAGCTCAGTAATCACAAGTCTTCCCTGTGGCCCCAAACTCCTTAGCACCTGTTCAAGTGCACACAAGTTTGACTAATTATTCCTTCCTATTGTACCCTGAATTTACCCCTTGCAGAATTTAGTGTAGGCCTCAAGAAGGAAAGACTGTGCCTTTTCTGCCCTCTGGAGTGGCATCCACTTCCTAATCAACATGCTTCTGGAAACTCAATGTACTCTGATAAATGTCGATAGTTGCAGAGGGGCTTTAAGCCTTTTGTTCATAGGGTTGCTATGAGACGTGCTCGACTAGAAGGCAATCAACAACAACAACAACAATAGACTAATATATGAACAGATTTGTTTATTTTCTTTTAACAACCTTACAAATCTTTAACCATCTATATGGTTATGTTTGAGAACACACTTCTAAGCATACAATGACTAGATTCGAAGAAACAAGTATTTTAAACCTCATGTCATGGTAAAGGAGCTCTAGTGGTACGCTGCTTAAGGGACCAACTTCCCTGTGAAGGTCAGAGACTGGAACTCACCATTTGTGCTGAGGGAGAAAGATGTCTCCTTCCGTAAGAATTTACAGCCTCGGAAATCGTGTGAGTGGGACTTCAATCATCTTTTTGAAAGTCATAATTTCATGTAGAATCCTAACGAGCATGCATTAGCAAAGTAAAAGTTGAAAAGCACCCACAGAATTTTGTAACAGGGACAGTAATAGCCTCTCAAGAGCAGCTGTGGGTGCAAAAGCTGGATTGGAATAGGTTTGACAGGAAGAGAAACTGAAGTGTCAAAAAGTCTTTTGATAAGTTTGGCTTTTCTGAACTCTGCCTTTGAACATCTTCCAGTTTGGATTTTAGTATTGATATTATGCATATCATAGGACCTCTGTATCTGCCTCTGTGTGAACTATACTTATTTATTTCCAAGACATTTTAAGAAATCAGTAGTGAGCAACAGACGTATTTTTAGATTTTTGTCTACCTTCCAATTTTGTGTTGCTTTTGGTGCACAGCGGCTTTATTTTTATAGAAAATTATTTTTTTCATGACTTAAAAGAAGAAAAGCCTCAACCAGATGGATTGACACAGTAACTCTAACAAAAGGCTCAAGTATTTCAGAGATGATGAGGACTGCACAGGATAGGACAAGGTTAAGATCTATTGTTCATATGATCACTATGAGTGGTAGTTGACTCAACAACACCCAATGACAATATACAGGAATTACAAAGGTATTCACCTTACATGATTTTTTAAAAATTAGAGTTTATTATTAAAAATTTTTAAATGATTTTAAAATTTATTTTTAAATATCAAATGAGGTTTGAAGTTATTGTACTATTATTAACTACAATGATGGAGTAATACACATTAAGGTATTCTAGCAAATGTTTTACTGCTTCCTGTGGAAGAAAGACCTTAATGGTTACGAATATAAACTTGCAATTCCATATAAGATTTTCTTGGTTAGCTTATGGAACTTGTATTTCTATGCTAATATTGTACATTCTCTTTCTCTTACAAATGTTTTTATTCTTTATTACTAGTTTCCTGAGTTGCCCAAAATGATGTCATCTGAGCACCATCCGAGAAGGCATTCTCATGAGGACCAGGAGTTCCGGTGCCGCACCCACGTGAGGAGTGACAGAAAATGTGCAGGAGAAGGGTCATTCAAGGAGCCACCGGAACCAAAAGAAAGATCTCGTTCAAAACGGCAGGGATTTTCAGAGTCTTTTGAACAGCATCTATGTTTTAGAACCAAACGTTCTATCTCTTTGGTATGCCATTTTTACGTGCCATTGAGTTTAAACCAACTTATACTTGACCCTCCAGCGGGTTTTCAGAGGCCGTAAATCCCATAAGAGAAGACTGTCCATCTCTTTCTCATAGAGCAGATGGTGGATTTGAACTGCCTGTCTTTGGGTTGGTAGAGCAACTCTTTACCACTAAGCCATCTGAGCTCCCTTTTGGTATATGTTGTTGTTGTGTTGTCGAGTCAGAACTGAGTTATAGCTGAATCTTTTTAGTTTTTCAAGGCTATAAATAGCATGGAAGGAGATCTCTCATCGTTCTCCCTTGGAATAACTGGTGCATTTAAACTGCCTGCCTTTTGATTAGCAGCACAACTCCTAACAATTTTGGGAAGAGAAACTAAAGAATTCATGCAGTCTACAATTGAGGACACCCAATTTAAATTCTCCTCTTTTTCCACTTTATGGTGATGGGATTTTTGAAAAACAAAACCAAGTTTAATGCATCCCGGATGCACATAATTTTTTTTTTAAAGTTATTGAAGACATCTGGTGTGGCAAGAATTCATGAAGGATATTACTAGTAATGCTTCTGTTGCTGAAATCTTAAAGTTCTTCGAGCCTACTTTCTTCACTCTTGTTGTTGTTGACTGCCATTTAACTGAGCATGGCTCATAGTGACCCTATAAACAAAAGGCCTGAAAGCCTTTCTGTAACTATTTTCATTTATCAGTTTATAGTTTCCAGAGACATGTTGTTTAGGAAGTGGATGCCATTCTTCTTAACATAAATTATTGTATCTCATTCTTTTTTGATTGTTTAAAAACAAAAACTTCCCTTACTGCTTCTCTCTTTTGGTATTTAATCATGTAGCAAATAGTTTATGACTGTTTTGAATTTCCCTGTGGTTTTTAAAAGCATACAGGAGGAACTAACTCTGTATCTACCTAGAAGTATCTAGAAGTAGAAATCATCCATATGTTCATAATTTTATGGATGTCCAAGAAATTCTGGAAGGTTAAATAAGCAGGAATGGGGAGGAGTTGAAATTCCACTGATAGTAAACTTGAGGTAAATATTTGATAGTGCTTTTTGAACTTTGCAACTTGCTCACTCTTGTGAATTGCTTGAAGGTTCACAGAGCAGACTGGTATTTCATGTAACCATTCATGAATATTGTGTCTCATAACATTGATTACAAAGTCCACATTGTAACAGAGCTTGCCCTACTGCCTCCCCATTGTTTCTCATTTCCATTGCCTTGAGCAAACAACTTGTTCCTACTAACTGACTCACTTTAAAAAAAAGAGTGGTATATTATGTATGGACCAATGCTTTTTTACACATTTAGCATTAAAGAGTCAGAGATTACTTTTGTGACCTGCTCACATCAATCACGTTCTTTCCTTTTGTTTAAGAACTCAATTGGTTTATCTTGATAATTTCCACATTTTGTTTGATGCAATATGGTAATGAAGTAAGGAGGCAATGAGGTAAGAAAAGAATTTCAGATCATTATTTACAAGTGTTTCTCAGAGAGTCCTTATTCTTTACAAAGGAAAAGTAAAAAATAGAAATAATAATCATTATGTTATCTCTTTTATGCACCATTTTTATAACCTATAATCATTATAATTGTTAAGTATGGGTTGTGATGGTTGTTGTCGTTGTTGTGTGTCATTGAGTCACCTATTACTCATAGTGACCCTATGTGCAATAGTTCTGAACCCTGCCTTATCCTGAGCCAGTCTCACACCGACACAGCTAATCCCATTGCCCCAGTTACCATGTCAATCCATCTCATCTGGAGTCTTCTTCTCTTGTGCTGGTCCTCCACTCTTCCAAACATGATGTCCTTCTCCAAGGACTGGTACCTCCTGGACATGTGCCCAAAGTATGTCAGATGGAGCTTCATAATCTTAGCCTCCAATGAGAAACTTGGTTTCACCACTCTCCTGGTGGTCCATAGTATGTTCAATACTCGTCTCCAGCACAACAGATCAAAGGCATCAATTCTTTTGTTATCCTTAGTCGTTGTCCAGCTCTTTGATGTATAGCAAGCAATTGTGAAGACCATGGCCCAGATCAGGCACCCTTTAATTTCTAGACTGACATCATTGCTCTTTAGTACTTTGGAGTGGCCCCTAACAGCAGACTTCCCCAATGCAATTCTTCTTTCACTTTCCTGACTGCTGGTGCCAATGGTGTTGATTGTGGAGCAGAGCAAGCTGAAATTGTGAACAACTTCATCTCTTCTCCATCCATCATGGTGCTGCCAATTGGACCCATGTCTCACCACTTTGTCTTTTGATGTTAAACTTCAATCCATATTGAAGACTACAGTCTTTGACCTTCTGTAGCAAATAAAAATTATCCGGCAATGTAGAGAATGAATACAACTTTTATGTTTCTCTTAATATATAGCTTAGCTTCATTTTTCATTTTGCTTTCTAATTTAACCACTATTAATAGAAGAAAAATTGTCTACCTATGAAAACCATTTAACAGTGTCAACTCTTTCTAAATTTCCATTGCTGTCAAGTAGAAATAGCTCACTCTCTAGGGGATTGTCAGAGGAGCTTGGGGTGAGATCTCCCATCTTTCTCCCTTGAATCCCCTGGCGAATTTGAACTAACAGAGAGGTGTGGCTTTGAGTTAGGAGTACAACAACTTCCTGATGAAGACACCATCAGAACTCCCTGATTTAACACTCTACCTAAATTCACCTCAGTCATCAGAATCCTACGTAACTCATCTTCTAGGTGAGCATCTGATCACCACTCACCATTCATTACATATCAGGGATTAGCTAATGTCTAAATGGGGAAATAAAGAACTGTTTTACAGAGGCAAAGAGTGACTTCAGGTTGGGTTTCCTTACGAAAATTGCCTGCTGATACTCAACATTTAAATAAAAAACTAAAATCACTGCCATCAAGTGAGTTCCAACTCATGACAATCTTCCAACGAGTTTCTGAGGTTATACATTATTTTTTTTAAAAAACCCTTTTTTATTATGAATTGAATTAAAATTGACAGAGCAGCTTGGTGTTTCATTCACTATTCGTATGTGTCATGTTTTGTGACATTGATTATAGTTCCTACATATAACAGCACTCTCCCCACTTCCCATTGTTTCCCATGTCCGTTTGTCTTCCTAGCCTATTACCCCTTACTGTCTTTTGGGCATTATTTCTGTGCAAATTCTGCTTTTTCAGTCTTGTATGATTGACAGTTCTAAGGACTGAGTACTCCCTCAGTGATGCTGTGTTCCTTAAAGACTTATTACTTGCCTACTATTTATGTCACAGAAGTGAGATCATTTCTAAGCTCACAGGGTGGTTAAGAGCCATGGTCTTAGGAACTGAGGCTGTAAAGTCAAGCCTGAGCAGACTACCTCATTTTTCTCCCATGGTACAATTGGTGGCTCAAAACCAATTAAGAATTATTTTATATACTTCTTTTAAAAACACAGGTACTTAACGGAATAACCAAGGAGCTCAGGTGGTTTTGTACAAAATAACTAAAAGGCTGCACATCTCAGGTGGCTTGAATCCACCAGCTCTTCACTAGAAGAAAGATGGATAGTCCTCTCTTGTTGCAATTTATAGCCTCAGAGACCCAACCAAGTCCCTACGAGTTGGAATTGACTGGAGGGCAGTGAGTTTGAGCTTGAGTGAATGAATATCACCACCACAATTTAGCAGTGCCATTCTTTTGCCAGGATTTCAATCATTCCTTGGGAAGGCACTTCCTTCCCCCCCCTTCTTTCACAAATTATTATTAATTTTAATTCATTGTTGCACTTTTCTCTCTGCCGACCCTTTCCCTCCAGTTCGCTCCTCTCTTTGAAAAGTAAAAGAAAAATTCTTTCATTGTTATACAATCCCTCCACCCAAGTCCGCTCCACTCTGCAGCCTTCATTCTGGACTCCTGTCATAGCAATAATACCCAATCATATATCTCTTTTAAACAGTTCTCTCCCTCATCTGTTTCAATGCACTATGGGAAGGCACTTCTTGATCATAAAAACTAAAAGCAATGGCAACTACCCTCTAAGTAGTTCCCTACTTTATTATCCTATTTATAGTTAACATGGAGACCCTGGAGTTTGGTTATTGAACCACCCAGGGGTGCCTCTGAATGTGGTGATCTGTTTCTAAGGGGTCACAGCCTTGCTTATCCTAAGGTGCCATTCTATCCTGCATACCTGGGTCCCCATGAGTCAGAGAGGACTGGAAGCAACTTGAAACAATAGTTATCAGAGCACCTATCACCTTCTGTTATTGTCTTGTTTCTTTTTAGGTTTATTTATTTTTTTTAATTGTCTCCCTTCACCAAGGTGTCATATCTAAAAAGTAAGATTTCTTGTCTTTAGTGTTGTTTTTCCAGAATCTAGATATGCAGGTGCTCTGTAAAGAAGGAATCAAATGGGAGCCAGGGGAGAACCTACTGGGAAATGCTAATCTGATTGGCTGTCATCCCTCCACAGTCCATTCTTTGCAGAGTCCTTATATTAAAATTGAATGCACACTCTCTGGTTAGTGCAACATAGGGCGTCAGCACCAGGGAGGTTAGTATCATCCTAGAGTCTCATTTATCCCTTTGCAAAAAGCACCAGAAAGGAAGCTATTATTCTTATCACACTGTGAAATCACATTTGCCCGTGTGTTTCCTCACGTCCTCTTGCCTGATGCTCCAGCACCTCTGCTTCTTTTCTTTAAGACTAAAATATTTCACAACACCCTTAGGCTTATTGCTAATTTATTACCAGACACTAAGAAGTGACAGTCTGCTGAGCAAATAGGACTTTATTTATGTGTGAAAGTTTATATGCATATGCTATTTGTTATGAGAAATATGGAGGTTTGCTAGCTGTCTCATCGCATTCTCTCGGCTCTGGGAAATAATCCTGGGATAACTGGGTGCTTTTCATTTGGGATCTTCAGGCCACGTATAAGGATCTGTGCTTCCAAGTAGGGGCTAGCAAGGCCAGAAAAGAGTCACCTGGAGTGTCCTTATCAACTAGTCCAGGAGGTACGATTTAGCCTGTTACACTGAACTGTCCGATGCAAGTCTGGAGCACAGACGCAGAGAGCTCTTTGGCTGGTATGAAACGTCCATGCATCAGAGAGGATAGCATGGTCTTTGGGACATAGAAATATCATATTGGGAACCCTGCTATATTATGCCGGTGTGTCTCTTCCTTATGATGACTCTGAATTGGTATATTTTTGCGATAGTAATTCTATACTAATAAGTACAGTGTCTATGAGTCTTTACAGTGAATTAACAAACCCAAAGTTGATGGGCAAATTAACAGAAAAAAGTGGGGGTGAAAAAAAAAGTGGGGATGGCATGTAGGCGCAAATCATGGTTAATGTCTTATTGTTTGGAAGTCTGATGGATCTCCTTTAACCTGTGAGATCTGCCCTACATCTGGGTGAAGAGAAAGAGAGATAGTTTGAGAGAGCGCAAGTGAGTGAGTGAACTATTGGTGTCAGAAATTATTGAGACATAGGAAAGTGGGATGGTTCAATTGCTACACTTTGGGGTTGAATTCACACCAATTCTTGTTTATGAAGTTCTGACAGACTAACTTTTTTGGATCCTTTTTCCTCAGGGACCTGAAAACAGGAAAGAGAGAAAAGAAAGGGAGTGCCTAAAAATGGAGATAAGATCCTGCAAGAAAGTAGAAGAAAGAAGAGGTTCCAGGAAGGAAGAACATGGAGATGCATACATGCCGCCTCTCGTTGAAAAGGGTCCTGAGTAGCACCTTGTTTCCCTGTCCTGACTACAGAGGCTGCCTTGGTTTTGAGCACCAGTGAATGATACTGGGAACTAGGGCTGGCACTTGTACGAAGGTGTCTCCAGATGCTGACGGGCAGAAGTGGGCGATTGGTATGCTTCCTGCTCAAAATGACTTACATCACTCCAACTGCTTCTGGCATTTTAGTCACGAGTGTAACCCACTTTGTGCCCTTTTATGGTGAGAAGAATTATAAAATAAAAGAGCTATTGAAAATATAAAGACAAATACTTAAAGAGCCATTTACACATATTCAATAAGGCTTCTTCCACACCGGCCTCACACATAATCATGAATGAAAGTCATTGGTGTGATTCCACATTTACTTCCTTGTTTGAATTATGTGACTATATGAAATGGGCAACATTTAATGAGAATTAACATTCCAAGTACTATTCTACATGCTTGAATTCATGATTTGAAATGATTATTACTCAGAGATGGAGTCTATTATTCTTTTTATTTTCTGGATGCAAAAATGGAAGTTTTCAACAGCTCACTAATTCACTGATGTGGTGGCAGAGAGAGGGTCTGGGCCTCGTGTGTTCCAATTCCAGGGACTTATACACTTCACCTGAAGTAAGATCATAGTTATCTTTTAGGAGGGGGTCCTGACTTAGTATGTGTGTGGTGTACATGTTAGTTAGAAGTCCAGAGCTGAGGTCAATATTTTGATTCTGTAGAAGGAGAATTGATGCCTTTGAGTTGTGGTGCTGGAAAGGAGTATTGAATAAACCATGGACTGCTAGGAAAAACAAACAGGTTTGTCCTAGAGAGGGTGAAACCAGGCTGCTCCTTGGAGTCATCTGACATACTTTGGACATGTTGCAAAGTTAGACCAGTCCTTGGAGAGACATGTCATGCTTGGGAGGCTGGAGGGACAACAAAAGATAGGAAGACCCTCAATGAGGTGAATTGATTGATTCAGTGACTGGGGTAATGGCGGTAGGTGTGTCAGAGACAATAAAATTGGCACAGGGTAGATCAGGCTTCAGGGCTGTTGCACAGAGGGCCACTATGAGTTGTAGGTGACTCTACGACACATAACAACAACAGGTGAAAATTAATCTTCTGAGGCCAGCATTAAGCCCTGGGGCTTTAGTTCCATGAAACCATCCACATTTCCCTATTTCCCACCCCTCTAGAAGAAAACATAATAGAATTCTCTAACATTTTCCCTGTTTGTTCATTCCCCCCACCCCCGCTTGGGTTTTCAAAAGCTTAAGGGCAGCTAGATTCTCCATGTATTTAGTGATGAGGAATCTCTCTCCAAAATTGTATCTTTCAACTAATACTGTAATTAATTGTTTGTGCAAGTCACAAACTCACTTTCATATATACAATAGGAAAAAGTAGGAAAGGAGAAAGGAAAAAAAAGGAAGAGAAGACAGTAAAGGGAAAAGACAATTTTGATGATGTTTGTTTGCACTCTGGGCATTTCCCCCCTCCCCCAAACAACTGTGTATGTACTGACACTTTTATGCAGTCTTTTTTTTTAACACCCCAGTGTAATTCTGTTCTATACATGTCAAGAAGTGTGAATGCAACTTTTGTCTGTTGGCACCAGTGAGGGAGGAGGGCTGGGTTTGACCTGTATTGGAAGTTTCTATTCCGCTGCAGATGTGGAGAATCAGTGATTTCCCCATCCCAACCTTGCTGTAGGTATTCTTCAGTCCTATCTTGCAAACAAACTGTCAGATTTGTGGATAGTTTTTCCCTACATGCGGGCCCTCCTAGAAAAGCAAGAAGCAAACTTAGGAGGATAGTTGCCCATTGACAGGAAGGGAAAAGCCTGGAATGATCTCCTTCAGCCTATTGGATGGACACTGGGTCAGCAGCCATCTCCTTTTCCCAGTCAGGCCACCTGTAAAAGTCCTTCCATTCTTTAAACTCAAGAATGGCCACTTACTCATTGCCTTCAAATCAGAAGTGACTCATATTGGCCCTCCAGTGGGTTTTCTGATGCTGTAAATCAAACAGGAAGAGCTGCCTATCTTTGTCCTGTGGGCTGCTAAGGAAAGATTGGTGGTTTGAATCCACCAATCACTCTAAAGAAGACAGGTGGGAAGTCTATTCCTGTAAGGGTTTACATGGCCTTGGAAACACTGTTTTCCAAAGGGGAGGACTTGCTATGAGTTGGAACAGATCTGGTGTGCAATGGAGTTATCAAACTGGAAGTAAGCCTATTTTTCAAGCACCTTCAAGATCACAGACTGAGAAAAACTCAATAAATCATGTATACTGCATTGAAGCTGATGAGGGAGAGAACAGTTTAAAAACAGTATGTTTTAGGGAATTATGATTATCAAAAGAGTGCGGAATGAGGGTTGCAGAGTGGAGTATACTCGGGGTGGGGGTGTGGGGGTGTGGGGGGATTGTATACCAATGAAAGAGTTTTCCTTTTGCTTTTCAAGGAGAAGAGTGAACTGGGGCCGGGGGTGGGGTGGCCGGGGAGAAAAGTGCAGCAATGAATGAATGGAAATCCACAATCTCTGTAAATGTTCATTGAAATAAAAAAAAAATTAAAATAAAAAAAGTCATAGAATGCAAAAAAAAAATTCACAGCACATAGGAAAGTGGGAGTAGAAGGCTGTCTGAAAAATGAATTCATGAAGCTTACCTGCTCCTGTACTTTATAATCAGGGATAAATATAAATGCAATACTGCTTTCATGAAACTTTGCTTGGTCAATAGTCCAGCTTTGGAAACACTGAAATGAAATTAATTTCATTTGGTTAACCCAGATCAATTTCTACAGTTTCTATTATTTTGATTATAATTTTTCATTATGTAAAGAATAGTTCATTGCTTTTCTCAATTGTCACAAAACAATGCTTAATCATAATAAAAAATGTAAATATAGAATAAAAATTGAACTCTGTTATTCTAGCTCTGGTGACCTAGAGGTAAGGAGCTGCACAGTTGACCTGAAGACACACATTTCAAACCCATCAGCTGCTCTGTGGGGTAAAAGATAGTCTCCTCCTGTGTGATTTACTGCCCTGAAAACCCACTGAGGGGTCAGATGTGGCTTGGTTCTGACTTGAAGGTATTTAACAACAACAACCACCCTTTTGGAGACAAATACGCTTAGAACTTTGTGGTGCCTGTCTTCCTAGAGTATTGTCTCCATTTACATGCTCACAAAAAGCACTTCCCCTGCCCTCCCATATCATTAATATCTTTTAAAATCAATAAAATAGCCCAATACATACTCTGATTGCTTCATTTCAAGTAGTTTTGAAGCATATTTGAGTCTTTTTCCATCTTAAAAACATTTTCCCAACGATACAGGAATAGATGTCATGCTTGATCCTCAAGTTCTCCCTTGTTTGTACGGTGGGTATGACTAACAGTTGACTCTTCTCCCCTGGTAGGATACTGGCCATCTTTCTCCAGCGGAAAGGCAGATCGATTTGAACTGCCAGAGAAGCGGGGTCTTTGGATTAGCGGCACAACTTTCTCCAGACTACACCCCCTGAACTCACTTGATACTAGTTCATTAAAGTACTCTTTGACAGAAAGACTCTTGAAGAGTTACTAACATTTCTCCTTCAATTTTCAGTCTACTTTGATGTCTACCTAGGACCTCTGTAGAAACAGTTTTCACTGACATAACAGTTACAGGTCAGTTTGTTTGCTCCCTCACTTTACCCCCTGTAGTTTATATTGACGTTCTAACTTCTGCACTTATAAATATGACCCTATTTAGAAACAGATTTTTCTATTGTCACGTTAATGAACTCATACGGTAATCAAGAAGGTTGTAAACATAATCCATTCTGAAGGGTGCTTTGTGAGAAGAGCAGAATCGATGCAAAGGGACAGTGGTAGATGCATCTGGAAGCCTTGGGACACCAAGGAGTGCCAGCCCCTACTAGAAGCTGAAAGGGACAAAGAAGGACCTTCTCCTAGAGATGACACCCTGAATTAAAACTTCTAGCGTCAAGAAGGGTGAAAATCTGGTCTGTTAACTTTCTTGGGCTCAAGCTATTACTGTAACACAGGTCAGAAATACAGTAAGAAAATCCTCTGCCCAGAGTGTAAGGCAGTCCTTTACACTTCCTTTCCCTTCCTTGCCCCTCAAAAATGGCGTAAATATTGAGAAACGCAAATAGTGTGAAAAAGCAAACACTGGAGATGTGTCTAAGATACCAAAAAATAAAAAATATTCCATCCTGTCTGTGGCCCCCCTCCTCCCAATTTAACATTTTTCTTGACATCCCCTGTAACTGTAGGCAGTAAAGGTAGCAAAGTTTTTACATTGAATACATTTATGCTCTCACAGGAGGTTTGAAGTCCAAATTTAGAAAACTAAAAGATTTTTGTCTATCTTTGTTCTAGGAAGCTCCCAGGTATAGGGATTCCAAGTTCAAAAAAACCTCCATGAGCTGCTGCAGTCTTTTCCCGGTGATAGAAGGCCCCTTGCTCTCTGTTCTTCCTCTCTCCTTCTATCACTTTTTTAACCTTTTTTTTTTTTTTTAAAACACAACTGTGTAAAAAGAAACTTGTTCTTTAAAGCTATCCACGTGTGCTTTTGTTACAGCAAGAGTAGTTATACCACGTCAAACCTCCTTAATAGAAAATGCTGGAGAAATTTCTAGTTACTCGATTATATGGCAGCACCTGGCATTGATCCTCGCTCCTTTTGATCCGTTGTTGTTGCTGTGTACCATCGAGTCTGAACCGACCCACTGCAGACCCTGCGGCGGGTTTTCAGAGGCAATTAATCGCACAGGAGGAGATCGCCCATCCAGCTGTAGGAGCTGGTGGCCTCGAACCGTGTGCCTTCAGGATTGCAGCAAAACTTCTTGCCACTAGGCCACCAGAACTGTCTCCAAGTTTCTTGTATCCTTCTGACCATTCTCAGTTGGTCTTTCACGCATCCTCCCAATTTATAGTGGGAACTCTGCTGGTTAGAAAGCTGGGCAATTCCTTTATGTGTAATTTATAGCCCGTGGGTC